ACAAAACAGGACACCCACATACATACCACAAACAATCCTCTCACACATTCAACTACTCAAAGAGCTTCTGCCACACACACATGCTCACAACACCACAAACAGCTCATATTCACACACAAACCCCTAGAAGCCAACCCTTCCACACACCATACCACAAACAACAATGCATACATAACACTACACACAACTGATATATACACTCACATAACACCACAAACATCACTGTATTATGTATTGGTGTCATGATTTCCTCTTCTTTCTCATTTATGTTTACCCAGAATCCCATATAGGGCGATTTAAAAGGGAAGTGTATTATTATTTGTCTGTTAACCTGTGTGTTCTGTGAAAGGTTACTTTTCACTATTTACAACTTGCTATTATAGTTTATACATAAAAGTTACTTTAGAAAACGTGAGCTGCCGTCCTAAGATACTTCGGTATCTAAATTTTACTTTAGCATAGCACTATCAAATGGTTGCTTATCTCTGTCCTATAGTATCATGAAAAATGTGATCCATAAATATCTGCGGTACCAAAGCTGCCCATCACTACCTTACGTTCCATGAAAAAAGAGCCTCAAAGATCATAAAGTCATGTTTAGTAGAAAACTGCTCGTCATGATGTCATAACTTTAGTCTACATTGGACTGTGATTACATGCTTACAATGCCGCACTGCTATTTCCTTATTGTAAGATTTCATTTAAACCGTTAAAATCCATTACATCTCCCAGCTTAGTGACCTATAAAACAAATGTGTTACAATGTACCAAATGAATTTGACTACCTAGAAGGCATTTATTTTTCTGATGTAAATATTCATTTATTCCGGTCCAATCCTATTTTCCACCGAGCTTCATGATTTTTTGTTTGGTTTGTTTAACATTTTCGCTTTTCCGCAGCAACTTCTATAATGACATCCTACATCGTTTTTTTGTTAGATTGATGGCCTCAAGATACTGAGTAATTTGGGAAAAACCATGAGAAAACAGCCTACAGGAAAATCACATTAAAAGGTTACTGGAATTTATATTTGCTTATTAATGGTTTAAATCATAGAGAAGTAAACAGAATTTTTAAATTATGAGTATAATGAAATTTCTAGTTTGTTAATCTTGTTTAACATGAACAGCACACAGTGACACTATAATAATATAATAGACATCTTTGCAAGGGCAGGGGTTTACAGAATTTACAAATCAATTTAAAGGGACACTATAGTCACCAAAACAACGTTAGCTTAATTAAGCAGTTTTGGTGTATAGATCTTGCCACTGCAGTCACGCTGCTCAATTCTCTGTCATTTAGGATTTAAATCATTTTGTTTATACACCCTAGTCACACCTCCCTGCATGTGACTTGCACAACCTTCTTAAACACTTCCTGTAAAGAGTCATCTAATATTTATCCTTCCTTTATTGCTATTTCTGTTTAATTGAGATAGTCGTATCTCCTGCACTGTTAATGGCTTTCTACACCTTGCAGGAACCTCCTGTATGTAATTAAAGTTCAATTTACAGAGCAGGAGATATAATCTTTGAAGGTAAGTTACATCTGGTTGAAATTGAAACTAGTTTTTTTTTTTACAGATTGTGTCAATCAGAGCCAGGGGAGGTGTGGCTAGGCCTGCATAGTCAGAAACAAAGTGATTTAACTCCTAAATGGCAGAGAATTGAGCAGTAAAAATTAAGAGGCAAGATCCATACACTACAACGCACAGTAGAGTCTATTCAGATTAGATTTTAAAGTGAAATCTGATGGAATGATGACAAGACATAATTTGCATGACTTGATATGATAATATGACATAACGTAACGTAGGTCTCATTCATAGAATGACATTATATAAAACAGAACCATGTAATGACAACTCGGAACAATCACTAATTGCATTGCAATAATGATAACTAACTGCAACAATGAGGTCTCAAAGGATCATATACAGGGAGCACAATGCGATCCACAGTGAAAGGTAAAGAGGAGCACCGTTAATTGGCAGTGACAAAGGCTGACTGCTAAAATAATGGAACACAATACATTATGTTAGATAGAGAGACAAACAGACATACTTGCATTAATACATAAACACATGGATTTTATATAAGAGTAAAATATTTTTTTCAGTAATTATATTTATTATTTATATTTATTAATTTTAGTAGTTATTACAATTATAACATCTCACATAGACAAAACATAAACAATAGGAACTAGAAACAGATTATAACATCAAGTATAGTCAACTTCTTACAACAAGCTTTGGACTAAGTGATCGGGCAGTGAGACACCGTAGTAATAAAATCAATGAAACACTATTCAAGGTAGTAGAGC